AAAAATAGATTGCTGTGCCACAAAATACAAATTTACTACAGAAGTTCAACTGTATAATGGAGCAAGGACTCACTTTTTTTTATTGTATGGTAATATTTTATAGCCCCTCCAAAGTGTCGAACGTCCATTTCATCATGATTACCTTCAGAGTGACTACTTTTGTGTAAAGTTAAACTCTTGTGTAACTGTTCACAACATTACAATATTCCAATGAAAATCTGTAGAGTGGGTTTATATCTAAGCATTATTATTTCAGGCATTTGAAGATATACATCTTGAGAAAAGAAAAAACATTAAAATTATGTTGGAATTTTTTGATAAAATCTTCACTTACATCTTTGTCCTGGAGATGTTTCTGAAATGGGTGGCTTATGGCTTCAAGAAATATTTCACCAATGCCTGGTGTTGGCTTGACTTCCTTATTGTAGGTGTAAGTACTGCATTTGATCAGTTTTGCGGACTGGATTACGTAGTATAGAACACCAGAATGTTCACTTTTTTTTTTTTTTGGATGTCCCAAATTGAGGCACCTTCATTTGAAGGAGAACTGATTTTTAGAAAGTACCGAGCACCTACCCTTTGAAAAACCAGACCTTTCAAAGTATCTCAATTTGGGCAATAAAAATAGTCATTTTGTTAAAATTTTGGCCTCAAAATTCCTACAGCTTTAATAATCTAAGGTAACATTAGTAACACAGGTCAAGTACATTTGTTTTGTTAAAATAGATTGGGTGAAATCTTGGCACCCCTGAAATCACTGAGTGTTTTATTATTAACTTCAATGTGGCCTGCATTTCACTGGTTATTTTATACCTCTTAGTGTCCCCTTAAGATGCATTTCTATTGTACTGTACAGACTGTCATTTCGTACTTTCATGGATAGGAGTTTCTAAGCATGAGAAAAAAGGGAAAAAAGAAACCAGAAGGCAGGATTTTGCTAATATTTTTTGTCTCTCTCTGTTCAGGTCTCTTTAGCAAGCCTTATAGCCAGCTCACTTGGAAATACCAAAATGGGACCCATGAAATCCCTTAAAACTCTGAGAGCCTTGAGACCATTAAGGGCATTGTCACAATTTGAAGGGATGAGGGTAAGAGTAAATAAAGCAATCACTGAAGCTTCTCTGTGTGAACATCAAGCCTGTAAAAGACCCCTATTTCCTATGGGTTTGCTTTCATTATGGTGCTGCATAATAGTTAAGGTTACATTTGAGTTAAATGTTAAGAGGAGTTTTTAAAACTTTATTTTGTAAAAAAAAAAATCAAATCATGCTCAAAGTTTATATATTTTTGGATTTTTCATGGTGGTTTAATGAACAATGAATTGAAAGACAGAGAACAATAAGATTTCAAAAATCATTTTTGGCTGATTTTCACTGGATTTTCTCTTTTCTTTCACTTGAATTCAGACATAGAAACAGTCACAAAATGTTTGAGGATTTTTTTTTTAAATAATGAAAAAAAGTAATCTTATATTTATAAATCTGGAAAATTTATAAGTAAATTTACACACACACACACACAAAAATCCTCTAATATACTTCAGTTTAAATCTGGAATGCCATAATTAGCTTGTAACCATACGACTTGTGTTCATTGTTTGTCCAAACATTTTCTTGTTCACTTTTGCATTTTCTTGGTGAATTAATATTTCTCCAGGAGTTCTCGTATCTGTTTATTTTTGTTTGATGATCTTACTAAGTCCGCAAAACTCCCATTGACTTCAATTGGACCAGGATTTGACCTGTAGTGATCTGGATTTGTTATTTTTGTATTTCCTTTTTATCATTACATGATTAGCAAATTATTACAATTGTATTCTATATCAGCAAGTGCACCACTAATACTGCAGATCACATGGCAACACACGATATGTAGGTTAGCAGTGTAATTAACATTTACAAATCCACCTAAGATTTCTGATGCAGACACACATAGCAAGGTACCATATAATGTTTTCAATAAATGAAAGCAAAAACTATATTCGAAAACACAAAATCCTTAATTGTGCTAAGGAAAGGTATAACTATGTATTAATTATGTAATAATTATATAAACTCAGGAGACTGGTATTAAGATAGGGAGCCTATTATATCTATACCAATTCAGATTCAATACATGTTTGTATGAACTAAAAGTCATTAATATCTATAGGATGTTCAATAAGTTGATGGCTCATTCCTGTTTCTAAAGTAAAATTGTCTGCATTAAGGTAACAAAACCACCAGAACAATTGGAACCCTTGTTGATACTACTTGCAGAAAGGTCAAGAATTCAGTGAACGTGGAAACTGGAGATAAGTCCAACTCACAATATTCAGATCTGAACTTTCCCAGAGTTTGGAGAAGTTTAGACCAGAGATTATGGTTCAACCCATAAGAGAAAGACGCACCAACAGTGAAGTTTGAAACTGGATTAAGATTTCCTTAAAACTTACCACAGGTTGTTTAAAGGTTTTGGTTTAGACCCATCTCTAATGCAAACTAGATAATCTCCCCTCTCCCTCCTTCTTCCCTCAACATCGTAATTGCACTTCAAGGTTGAGACATTAGTTGGATACTATGGGGAAATTTGTACTATCATTAATTAATCTACATACATGTTCTATGGATATAAGAATTCCATCTCCAGGCCTGCCAGTTCTGACCCTTTCACTAGCACTAAATTCACTAATTAATAATCATAATTAATAATGAAAATAATTTACCTTGGTCACTCACAATATGGTATTGTACACACTAGTGATAGAAAAAGCTGGGGATTCACTTGAGTGTCTAAAGTCATACTTTGCCCCCTGAATCTTATATGTTCACCTAACTACCATGACCCTTGCCTTCAGCATCTCTGGGTTACATTGCAAAAACTCACACTACCTGAAGCTAGTTGTGAAGGACACACTATACTGATTTACAATAACTGAAGATCTGATCCATACTGTGGCCTTCATGATTACCTGTTGTGAATGTGTAATGTCATTTTTCTATGATATGTAGAGAAATGCAAAAGGGACAGAGAAATACTATATTAATAGTTTAGAAGAAAGTGAAATACTGTGATATGATGGAGAATAAGACCTGGCATTTTCATACTCAGTTTCAAAAATAGATAAAATTTCATTTTTGTGAATCAATATCACTTTGTCTTAGGCTCAGAAATGTCAAAGAAAAAGAGAGAAAAAAAGACTTGTGTCAGCAGAGAAGATCCTAATTTTGTTACAGGAGTGGGTGGGTGAGATTCTGTGGCCTGCGTTGTGCAGGGGGTCGGACTGGATGATCATAATGGTCCCTTCTGACCTTAAAGTCTACGATAGCATGAAAGAACTGAGCAGCAAACTCATTCAAATATAGACTGGAATTTATAGAAAGACTGTTAAATCATTGTATATGAATGCTAATGTGAGTCATTGGCATACAGTAGTAGCAAAAACTTAGTCATATAGTGGGAAAACAATTACATGTTGTGATAGAGGGTATAAATGCATTTTTAGATGTCTTTTATGTTAAGTCAAAGGCTTTTATATTTTACAGGGCAGGAAGGCTTTGAATCCTGGATAACTGGTCCAAATCTGTCCTCAGTTAAAACTGTGCAACCCCTGTTGAATTCCACAGGAGTTGCACAGGGTAGCTGAAGGCAGTTTTGTAACTAACATATCTACTGCTTTTCTTTGTTCTGCTAAGTATTATCTCCAAATCATCACCTATATGTGGGAAGATCCTACATAAGGAATTTGCCACTGCTCTTCCTATGGAAGAGCCAGGAGATCAGTTCCAGATCTTGGTAGATCCAGTGAAGGTGATGTCTGTCAGTGTGGGGGTCCTGTGTCTCTAGACAGGTTACACAGCTGCTGCTTTCCCTCCCAGTCCTTTGGCCCCACAGTGTCAGTTGGAGAGCCTCTCTTGGGATAACGGGAAAGAAAGGAAAATGTGTTGTAGAAGTGGCATTCTATATACCTGTCTCTGGCAAGCTGTACTATCTGTATGCTACAAGTCTGATGTGATATCTTTGTTGTCTGTTGGCCACAGAGGAAAGTTGATATGGGGGATTATCAATCATCTGAACTGTCTATGGACAGTAAGATGTTGATGTCTCTCATCTATAAAAGGGAAGTGAATCAAAAGATTATACACAATTGTCTGTAGGCCATTTGCGATTGGTGGTTCATGATGATTTGTAGTCCAGACTGGAAATTATATGAAACAGGACAGGTAGAGATGAGGGGTTTTGGTGTATCAGTAAAGGCAGCATGAGGATATAGGGGTATAGTTAAGACAGCTTGTACAATCTTAACTACAGATTTGTCCTCTATTTATGTAATCCCGGTGTTCTAAAAATGTTGTTCTGAATCAAGATATTTATTTATAACCTTAACATTATCATAAAGTTTTTGTCTGGGAAATGCTATAGTTTCTGCACAAACCATATAGACATTGAAGGCTTTTCTGGGCATGTCAAACCCAGCAAGCACAAACTTGACTAGTACAATATTTGAGGTTTCTTTCCTGCTCTCTCCTCTAATTTGAAAGTTGTATGAAACTTGTAAGGAAACAAGAAAAGCTTGCCTGGATTTGGGATTTGTTATGAATCTGAAATGTATTCACTGGAATATAGGGTGAGTGTCATGCTATACTTTCACTCAGTTTAGGACATTCCCACTCCATCCTCCCAATAAACCCAGGCTCCCACTTTAACTTTAGATATTTCTTAGAGGGGATTCCCAGTGGTCTGCTTGACCACTCTTTTTCAAAGTGTTGCCTTTGGGAAGCTAGCTTGCCCCACTGGCTGTGACCTGTGTGAAGGTAAAGGATCACCCATATCCTACTTTTGGGGGGTACTGGGTTCTACTCTGCCCTTTACTGGGCAATGAACAGAAGTTCCTGTCCTAAGCGGGAAGTGACAGTTTTGACATCTGTTTACTCTATGAGATCATTAGTAGAGGTTACTCCTTGAAACACCTAGCCAGATGTAATGAGATCCACTTTGGAAGTTAGTCTCCATCATGCATTAGACAGAATGTGTAATTTATGCAAGTTGGTCACAATTTCTGCTATTTCCCCAGGAGAGATTATGGTAGATCTTATTTTTTCATACCAGTGGAACTTGTAAGTGTGCTCAAAACTTACATGCTGAATTGACACTTTCCAGGTTACTCTTGAATTGTGCAAAACTTCTCATGGAAGTTACAATATCTGCAGCAACCTTTACATATCTATCAGAGATTCATTATTGATCCTCTAATAACTAATTTTCCACACAACTTGAATAAATGTCATGCTGACATGAATAAAAACAGACCGCTGTATTAATCCTCATGAAGAAATAATGTGTATTTAGAATCTTGTTCAAAAGAAAAAAAAGGGAAGCTCCAAAAGTGAATATTCTACCATTACATTCAAATACTTTATTGTTATTTAATAGTGCGTCCAAGTGCACTAGGTGTTTCACAGAAAACAAAAAACAGGTTCCTGTCCAGAAGAATTGACAATCGAAGGGCCTGATCCTGCCAACACTATAGATGTAAGAATCTTTACTCAAAATAGTTGCCACTTCAGTAGAAGTATTTATGAGAGTAAAGTTACTCATGTGTGTAACTGTTTGCTGAAATGACATGGGATTGCTTAGATTTTCAAAACAGTTGAATGTAGCAAATAGCTGTTTAAGGCTTTGCACATGTGAATACCTATAGTAACTGCATGTTTTTCTTTCATTTCTCCTAAGGTGGTTGTGAATGCCTTAGTAGGTGCCATCCCTTCCATCATGAACGTTGTGCTTGTCTGCCTCATTTTTTGGCTCGTTTTTAGTATCATGGGAGTGCACCTATTTGCAGGAAAATTTGGAAAATGCGTTAACTTGACTGAAGGAAAATCAGAATTAAATACAAGTATTAAGAACAAACAGAATTGCACAGCCTATAATGAGACACAAAAAATATATTGGACAAATGGTAAAGTCAACTTTGATAATGTTGGTTCTGGTTATCTGGCTCTTCTTCAGGTGGTAAGTTCTATTTTGCTGACTGGCACATTGTGGGGTGGGATGGAATCAAGGTTTTTCCAGTTGCTTACCCACATCTGCAAGGAGTGGGAAGCAGTGGTCCTGCAGAGCCTGCTGTCCCATCCCCTCCCCATGTTGAGACTGGCAATATGGTTAGCCCATTCAGGGTCCCTTCCTCCAGTGTGTGCACATATAGTGTCCAGTGATGAGCTACGAACTTATGATGTAACCATTTGAAAATGTGCTCCTCTGATTTGCAGCTATCTCCTGGGAAGATGCTATGAAATGTTTGTTATAATTTCATTAAACTAAATGCAAGATTCTCTCCTGCACTGAGTAAAGCTCAGTGCAGAAATGGGAAGTGGGGAGAGAGCATCAGTGGGCTGGTTCCAATTCCCTGATTTGTTGTGATCAACCCCCACCCCAAAACAATTTAGAGCTGTTGTCAGGCAGCTTTGTTTTTTGTCGCTAGATTTGGATCCTTAATCAACTATAACTTATGGAGGACTGCTGTAGTGGAACGTCACTGCAACACATGTCCTCCTTGCCCCTGACATCCTTTCTACACTGGTACGGGTGAGGGGGGGGTCGACACCTAGAGCCCAACTCTGTCACAAACATGTCAGTAAGGAGATCGCCTACACCAGAGGAATTCTGTGCTGGGCATTTGTGGACAGACTGTAGTCCCTTTGCACCATCTCAGAAGCACAAAGATATTGTAAACAGGCTAAACAATCTCATCCTCAAAGTTTAATATGATTTTAATAATTTTTCTGTCATTCTAGGCAACATTTAAAGGTTGGACAGACATTATGTATGCAGCAGTAGATTCACGAGGGGTAGGTCATGAAAATTAAAATGTTCTCTCTTGTAACCATCTCTCCAATTTTTACTTGTGTTTTGTAATTTTCATGCTTATTAGTGTTAGTGAACACAATGTGTAGATCTAGTCTGTTCATTGTTTTTTTGGTGCTATCTACTTACTGAGCTAAAATGGATGAGCATCCATTTAAAATAAATGGTCAAGCATTATTTATTAATTATTATTATTATTATATTTAATGTTTGTATTACTGTGCCACCTAGAGACTCCAGTCAGGATTAAGGTTCCACTGCATTAGATACTGTACAAACACAGAGGAAGATACAGTCCTGCATCCAAAGGACTTAAATTGGACAAAATTACCAGCATATCTTCTGAGGAAATGAATGAGCTCAAATGTAACCACATTCAAAAATAATTTTCTCGGGTTTATTTAAAACTTTGTTGCTTTTTTCCAACAGTAATAGAATAACTTTTCAACCAAAGGTTTAAATTGGAAGAACACATCTAGGCCAAGATTCTCAAAAGCAGAAGCTTGAAGTTACGCTCCTAAATAAGATTTTCAAATGTTGGGTGCTCAACAGTTCTTCTTCGAGTGATTGCTTATGTGTATTCCACAATAGGTGTGCCTGCTCACCACGTGCACTGGTGCCGGAAGTTTTTCCCCTAGTAGTACCCATGGGGGGGAGCGCTCCCTGCGACCCCTGGAGTGGCGCCTGCCTGGCGCAATATAAGGGGAGCTGCGCACTCCCCCCAACCTTAGTTCCTTCTTGTTGCCAGTGAAGGTGCGTCGGAACTGCTCTGCTCCAGCTTTGCTGTAGCTCGTACCCAGAACTGTTCGTTCAGCATTAGTACCTGTAGTTAGTTTAGTTTAGTTAGTCAGTGAGCCTTGGCCGGGGCATGCCCCATGCTCTGGGGTTTAAGTTGTGTGGCTCTTGTAGGCGTTCTATGCCAAGAAGTGACCCGCGCGCAGACTTTTTGCGCTGCTTGGGAGAAACCCATATCAGCGAAAGGTGCAAGATTTGCAAGTCGTTTAAGCCTTGGACCAAAAGAGAGAGGGAAATTAGGCTCCAGGCCATCCTGATGAAGTCGGCACTGACCCCGACCCCGGCACGCCGCTCCAAACCAGTACCTGGCACCCCAGCGTCAGTACGCGGCGACCCTCCGGTGCCATCGACCAGCCAGCACCATTCCCTGTCCTTGGGTCACGCCAAGAGGGCCAGGAAGACTCCCTCTTTGCAGAGGCACCGAGGGAATTCTGGGGACATAGGCTAACCCCATGTCGGGCAGTCCTCGATCCCCACCAGGCCCTAGGCCTCCGACTCAAGTTGAACAGAATACCCCGGCCCCTTCGGGACAGGCCTCTCCAGATGTCCGGATGCCGTCCATGCCTGAAGCCCTCCAGGCAGCCCAGGACGTCATGTCCATGCCAGTGCCCGGAGCACCACCGATGTCGGCCCGGCACTCCAGAGGCAAGCTGCCACTGGGATCTCCACAGTTACCTCCAGTCCAGTACCGGTCTTGGTCAAGGGAACGTTCCCGATGCCAATCACCGTCCAGTGACCGCTCGAGGCAGAGTCCAGGTGAATTGCCCTCGACACTGACTAGACTGTCTGGCTGGGTTCCATCCGGCTGGGACTCACAGCACCACTCGTCCTCAAGGAGCGAATATCAAGGGGACCCCAGCGTCGCTGTCAGTCCTTATCTCGGAGAGGGTACCGCAGTCGGTCATGGCATGATCGTCGATGCCGTTCCCGCTCGGACTCCCGCTCCAAGTCTCCGTCAAGACATTGCAGCCCCGGGGGTCGATCGCCGTCGTCTCGCCGTTGCGGGTCTGCCCTTCAAGGCCGTTTGTGGAGCAGCTATTACCATCGGTACAGTCCTCCATGTCGAGGTCACGGTCCTGTGGCTGTCGTAGATCCTGGCACTGCCGCTTCTCCCAGTCCAGAGACATCAGCAGATCTTACGCCAGCCTGGTCTCCATTTGTTGCAGTCCTTTGATGGACCAGGCCAGCCAACCCAGACAGCAGGTGCAGTGGCACCAAGCGTCATGGCAGGCCCAATGGTACCAGTGGGCACTGTGGCCTCCGGCGCAGCCCCCAGTGGGAACTCGCTTGGTGGTCGGAGCTTTGGAAGCACTGTTGACCTCCCTCTCCAGACCTCCGAGAGAGGAGTTGGTGGGACGTACGTCCTCGGCACCGTGCCCAGAGTCTGACCAGGTGGTGGACCCTCCGGTGCCAGCTGACACCCAGACCACCGCACCAACCTCTTCGCCCCACCCGGAGGATGTAATTGCAGCCCCGCCCCCCTCCGTCCCGCAGGAGGACTTCAGGGCCCACCAAGCACTCTTAAAGAGGGTGGCAGAAAGCCTACACCTCCAGGCAGAAGAGATGGAGGAGCCCTCAGACTCCCTGTTTAATGTATTGTCCCCATCGGCACCCCGCAGGGTGGCCTTGCCTCTCCATGAAGGGGTGGCTAAGATTTCAAATGCCCTGGGGCAAACACTAGCCTCATTGGTCCCCATCTCTAAAAAGGCGGAACTCAAGTACTTTGTACCCACTAAGGGGCATGAGTACTTATATACCCATGCAGCGCCCAACTCCCTGGTGGTCGAGTCAGTCAACCACAGGGAACGGCAGGGTCAGCCAGCCCCGACCCCAAAGAACGAAGACTCTCAGAGACTGGACTCTTTCAGAAGGAAAATTTATTCATCTTTGAGCTTCCAGTTACGAGTGGCACATCATCAGGCTATCCTGGGCCGGTACAAATTCAATCTGTGGGGCTCCCTGCCTAAGTTTGAGGACTCCCTCCAGGAGCGCGATAGGAAGGAGTTCAAGGTGCTAGTAGAGGAAGGGGCAGCGGCCGCTAGGGGGTACCTGCAGGCAGCCTCGGATGCTGCGGACACGGCTGCATGATCAATGGCCTCTGTGGTGACCATGAGATGGGCGTCATGGCTCCTGCTCTCTGGGCTGTCCAGCGAGGCGCAGTCTTCCATTCAGGATATCCCATTTGACGGGAAAGCTCTGTTTGTGGAGGAAACAGATACAAGGCTGCATGGCATGAAAGACTCCCACACTACCCTCCAGCCTCGGGGCATCTATGTCCTGGCTCCGGCAAAACCTAAGTTCAAGCCGCAGCAAACTCCCGCCCAGGCCGCTCTTGCGAAGTACGAGGCTGTCCATAAGAAGCAGCGGGACCATAAGAGATGTCCTCAGAGGCAGTTTCGGCCTACCCCCCACTGCCTGGGTCCTCCAAGGGCAAGCAGGTAGGGAAAAGGCGTTTTTGACGGGACGCTTAGAGGCACCCCGCCAGTCCTCATCAAGGATCCACCCCCAATAAAGCTTCCTTTCTCCAACCGGCTGTGTGCTTTCCTCCCAGAATGGTCGCAGCTAAGCTTGGACCGATGGGTCCTCCACACCATCTCCCGGGGTTACACCCTCCAGTGTGCTTCCTCCCTGCCCAACCCCCCTCCCCCCATCCCTCCTGGGGGACCCCTTGCACGAAGCTCTGCTTGAGCAGGAGGTGGGGCGGCTCCTAGGACTAGGAGCGATAGAGGCAGTGCCCGAGGAGTTCATGGACAAGGGGTATTATTCCCATTATTTCCTTATCCCGAAGGCCAAAGGCGGGGTCAGGCCCATCCTGGACCTCCAAGGTCTGAACCAGTACATGGTGAAGCTCAAGTTCCGCATGGTCTCCCTGGCCTCCATCATCCCCTCCCTGGATCCCGGGGACTGGTACGCTGCCCTCGATCTACAGGATGCCTACTTCCAGATCCACATATTCAAGGGGCACAGGCGCTTCCTCCGTTTCGCGGTGGGACAGAATCATTACCAATTCACAGTCCTCCCATTTGGTTTGTCCACTGCCCCCAGGGTGTTTACAAAATGCATGTTGGTGGTAGCGGCCTACCTCAGACGACGGGGGGTCCAGATATTTCCCTATCTGGATGATTGGCTCTTCAAGGACACCTTCCAGTCACAGATGCGGGATCACATGGCGCTCCTCCTGTCCACGTGCACCGTCTTGGGCCTGTTGGTAAACAACACCAAGTCCGTGTTAGTCCCGATCCAACGCATAGAGTTTATTGGGCTGCTCCTGGATGCAGTGTCGGCCAGGGCCTCTCTCCTGCCAGACAGATTTGAAATCCTGAAAGACCTCAGCGACTCGGTTACCGGTGACAACAGCCAGGGCTTGCCTGCAACTCTTGGATCACATGTCGGCGTGCACATACGTCGTCCGTCACGACAGACTCAGGATGAGGCCCCTCCAGCTCTGGTTGGCCTCAAAGTTCTCCGAGGCCATGGACAGGATGGACAAAGTCTTCACCATGCCAGACTCTGTGATCGCCTCCCTACAGTGGTGGTCCACCCCAAACAACATGCTCCAAGGGGTCCCGTTCAGGAACAGGGCCCCGTTGTTGGAGCTGGTGTCCGATGCGTCGGACCTGGGTTGGGGGGCCCATGTGAGGAACTTTCAGACCCAAGGCGTGTGGTCGGCTCAAGACCTGACTCTACATATAAACATCAAGGAGCTCAGGGCGGTGCAGCTGGCATGTATGGCCTTCCGCTCTCACCTGGAGGGCAAGGTAGTCAGGGTCCTCACGGACAACACGGCCTCGATGTTCTGTATCAACAGGCAAGGTGGAGCCCGATCCTCTGCCGTGAAGCCCTAAGGCTGTGGGACTTTTGTATAGCCCACGACATCCATCTGAAGGCCTTCCACCTACCTGGCGCCAGGAACGAGAGGGCAGATCGCTTGAGCAGGGACTTTTCCTTGCAACACGAGTGGTCCCTCCACCCGGAAATAACCCACCGGCTCTTCTGAAGGTGGGGAACTCCCCAGGTGGACCTATTCGCGAACCGGCAATGCCCCCCAGTTCTGCTCCGGGCGGGGCCTGGAGAGGAGCGCTATCTCCGATGCCTTTCTCCTGTCCTGTTCATGCCGGCTTCTCTACACCTTTCCCCCGTTCCCTCTAATCAGCAGGGTCCTGGAGAAGATAAAGTCAGACAAGGCCTGGGTCCTCCTAATTGCCCCGGTGTGACCCAGGTAGCATTGGTACGGGACCCTCATGGGCCTGGTGGTAGCTCCGCCGTTGCCACTCCGCCCGGACCTGCTCTCTCAGGACCAGGGCCGCCTCCTCCATCCCAACCTAACGACTCTTTACCTCACAGCATGGCTGCTCGGTGGTTAGGTGGAGAGGAAAGGACGTGCTCAGAGCAGGTTCAGCGCATCCTCCTCGAAAGTAGACAGCCCTCCACTCGCCGCGCTTATTTGGCGAAGTGGTCCCAGTTTTCTATGTGGGCGGCTGACTGGGGTGTCTCCCCCAGTGACCGCCCCAATACAGCTTATCCTTGATTACCTCCTCCACCTGAGAGCCCAGGGCCTGGCACCCTCGTCAGTCAAGGTGCACCAGGCAGCCATATCGGCCTTCCATCCATCGGTGCAAGGGCACATGGTATTTTCCCGTGCTATGACTGGCCAGTTCTTTAAGGGTTTGGACCACCTTTTTCCGTATTCTAGACCCCCGGTCCCGTAGTGGGACCTAAACCTGGTGTTGGCTCATCTCACGGGGCCCCCGTTTGAACCACTGGCCACATGCTCCTGGTCTCACCTCTCATGGAAGGTGGCCTTCCTGGTTGCAATCACGTTGGCCAGGCGAGTCTTGGAGCTCAGGGCCCTGACCTCCGAGCCGCCGTACATGGTCTTTCATAAGGACACAGTCCAGCTCCACCCACACCGTTCATTCTTCCCGAAGGTGGTCTCCATCTACCACATGGGTCAGGACATTTTTTGACCAGTCCTCTGCCCCAAGCCTCATGTGTCCAGCGAGGAGTGCCATCTCCACACGCTCAATGTGCGGCAGGCTCTGGCTTTCTATCTCAAGCAGAATAAGCCGTTCAGAAAGTCCTCACAAGTTATCGTTGCCTTGGCTGAGTGCGCGAGGGGCCAGCCAATTTCCACTCAGCGGCTTTCCAATTGGATCACTTCGTGCATCCGTTCCTGTTATAAGCTGGTGGGTGCCCCCCCACCACCCATTGTGAGGGCACACTCGACTCGGGCGCAGGCCTCCTTGGCTGCCTTCGTGGCCCACGTCTCCATCCAGGACATTTGTAGGGCCGCCACATGGTCTTCGGTTCACACGTTCATCTCGAACTTCGCGATCGTCCCCCAGACCAGGGATGAAGCTGGGTTCGGCAGGGCTGTCCTCCATCCTGGGAACTTGTGAACTCCTACCCACTTGCAACAAATATAGCTTGGAATCACCTATTGTGGAATACACATGAGCAATCACTTGAAGAAGAAAAGACAGTTACCTTTTCTGTAACTGGTGTTGCTCATGTCTATTCCACATCCCACCCTCCTTCCCCTCTGTTGGAGTTGTCTGGCAAGAAGGAACTGAGGGTGGGGGGAGCGTGCAGCTTCCCTTATACCACGCCAGGCAGGCGCCACTACAGGGGTCACAGGGGCGCCCCGCCCCCCCCGAGTACTGCTAGGAGGAAAACCTCTGGCAGTGGTGCATGTGGCACACATGCACACCTATTGTGGAATAGACATGAGCAACATATCTTGAAGAACACCAGTTACGGAAAAGGTAACTGTCTTTTCCCACCGACCTCAATCAAAGCTGTTGGTTGCTCCTCGATACCTTTGCAAATCATGCCAGTAAGATGTGATTCAACTCTCATTGAAGTCAATAAAGACTCCCATTGACTAAGTCATGATATATATTTTAAACAGAAGGTTAAAAAGAGAAACATTTTCCTATGTGTCCCTGCATGAAGACAGAAGTGCAACTCCTCTCACTCTCCTTAAAATAATTCATTCTTCAAGCTTTTAATTTCTTTGTCAGCAGCATAAATGGAATGGGAGATATTATCCTACAAGTTTCTTAGCACAAGTATAATCAACATCAGTGTCAGTTGCAGTGATCTCTTCCATATGTGGACAGAGAAGACCTTAAAGATTGCAGAGAAATCAAAACAATAATACCATTAAAATACATTGGGCCAAATTCACTGCCCATTTACTTCATTGACAACAGAAAATTTGGCATATTATTTTTAGAAGATATTTTCAGGTCACCAAGAAGGATAGTCAAGTGTTAGGAGAAACATTGCTCTCAGTAAAATTGTCATCCACGTCTTCTGTGGTGTCCTTAGATTTAACGTTATCCAACAGTCACACTGCAGATTTTCTCTCCCTCTCCTCAAATGCACCCATGAAATGCAAGACTTATTTATTCCTGGGGGGATTCTGTGCCAAAAAATTCAAAATTCTGCATATTTTATTTGTCATAATAATACAATATAATCACCCCGGTTTCAATTGTTTTGGTAATTTATTTAAACTACAATACAGAAAAAAGTCACAATAACTAGTCAGCATTTCCTAAACACATGAAAGCTAAGTTACAAACACTTGGTAGCATACCCAGCATTCCAGTTATAATCCTGGATTTTCATTTAAATTACATTACAGAACACCAAACAGAAAAAAAAAAAGTAGACTGTTATTTTAAATTGCTCAGACTTACATACATGAAAGTCATACAGTTTTGGTAATCATTGTCCTGGACCTGGCTGGGTACTTTCGGAAGTGCTTGGTTCTGATTGTCCTGACATTTTATTGACTGGTTGGTAAATGTTTTATTTGCCCTCAAAGTCTTTTTTATTTTATTTTATTTTTTTTTAATGGGTAAGTAAAATAAATCCTGAGCTGTAATCTAACCCCATTGTGCCACTTTGGCACAGGAAAAAAGTGAAAAAGCACATAGATCTTTCTAGCTGAAGATTTACTTACTGTCATTTATAAGAAGGCTCCTTTACATCACATTGGCAATGTAACAGCCTTAAAACTTTTACAGGTTTTATGCTCCTGGGGGAATTGACTGAGAATGGGAACAGTTAACTAACAATAGGAACATTAACAATGTTACTACACAGGCAGGCGGCTACATTTGTGCCTGAGAGAATGAGCTCAATTAAACATCAACAGCAACTTTAACAATGTTACTACAGAGGCACGCTTCTACATTTGTGCCTCCAGGATATAGCCAGCCTCCTGCATAATAAGCTCTACCCTTCCATGCCACAAGCTGCAGTCGCAAGAGAGAGGGGCAGATTCTCTCTCTCTCTCTCTCTCTCTCTTTCTCATTGGCACGCACATACACCTAGCCTCTCTCCCCCACACCTCGCCAGTGATCAACCACACAGGCATGCACACCCAGCCACCACCCAGCCCCTCTCCCCCATCTCTGAGGCTGCTCCAAGCACACTGGAATAGATGCACTGAATGAGCTACCAGAGAAGAGGCGAGTCGCCCGGCAGATTTTTTTTTTTTTTTTTTTTGCATTTTTCTGCACAGAAATATGCGGGCCATATGAATTCTGCACTCCTGCAAGGGCGCAGAATTCTGTCAGGAGTACTTATTGTTGCCGACTAGAGTTTTTAACTAGACAACTTTTTTTTACGATTTGTAGTGATGTAGTAAATTTGATATCCTGCAATGAAGTCTGCACGGGGGAATCGAGGCACCGATTTCGAACTCATTCTAGGAACAGAGGCATATTGTTTTCAGTCATTTTTCATCTTGGTTATCATTTTTGCAGAAAGAAAAACAGCCAAAGAAGGAAAATAATCCGTACATGTACCTCTATTTTGTGGTTTTCATCATCTTTGGATCTTTCTTCACACTGAATCTCTTTGTTGGTGTCATTATTGACAATTTTAACCAACAAAAGAAAAAGATAAGTATATTGGATATGTTTCCAGACCCCTGATATATCCCTTACATGCTGTCTTCAGTGTATAGGATGCCTGCTGTACACTGAATCTCTAAAACATTTATTTACATTTATTACATGGAACAGCATCAGTATTGAATTTAATTGAGGAAGCATTACAAGTGTAAGTGCTATGAAGTGCTTCCCCTTCGCCATTCCTTGTTTCCCTCCATGTAGCTGTTAGCTCCAGAGGCAGCACTGATTCAAGAGGCTGAGAAGTCAGCTACACAGTCCCTTGAATGCTACTTCCCCTATCTTGGAGCTAAGCACTGTGGGACAGGGTCTGAGGAGCAGCTCTGGGATTGGGCAGTGTGCCAGAGCTGGTAAGGGCAGCAACAACAGGAGGTCAATGGGCAGGGAACAAGTTGATCCTTCCCTCATGTGCCTAGTCATTTTCCTGTTTTCTGAGCCAGTGGAGTGCCACCTCAGAACTTTTAAAAATGCATTTGGTCCCAATTAGGTACTGTGAGAAGGGTTAGTAACAGCAAGAGATAAAAGGGCAGAAAAAGAAAGAAATGTTAGCTTCCAATATTTTAGACTTGCACAGCAAGGATGTTTTTTTATAAATTTAAAATTAAAAATTTCTCATCAATAGTAACAGTATCATTATCTCCATATACTTAGGTAGACAAGACATCTTTATGACAGAAGAACAGAGAAAATATTATAACGCAATGAAAAAACTGGGATCCAAGAAACCCCAAAAACCCATCCCAAGGCCATTGGTGAGACCACTTGAGTTCTTCCAACTAAAATATTTCTAATCAGTGAAAATCCATAGTAAAATTAACTTAATCCACCCAAAAATGTATTAATTAATTATATATAATGTATTTGTTTCCACTGATGTTCAGAGAATGTTCATAGAAATTGCCAATGAAGGATTATAAAGAATACATATTTATGAAGTTCTTTGCAGAAATATTTACCATGGAATTGATTATCCTTCAGAATGGGAAGGGAATTATGCTATCATCTTTTATACTCTACCTTTCTCTAATATATCTATTTATAATGGAATTAAATAACATTGAAACATATAAAGACTGCTAGTACGGAAATATGCATGCCTAAGCATGGCCACATTTTCATAACTAATACTAAATACTCTTTTTTCCCCCTGCAGAACAAATACCAAGGGGTTTTTTTTGACATTGTAACAAGCGAAGCCTTTGATATTATCATCATGATACTCATCTGCCTTAACATGATCACTATGATGGTGGAAACTGATGATCAAAGTATAAGGAAGACTGACATTCTTAACAAAATCAACATGTTCTTTGTTGCCATCTTTACTGTAGAATGCATCGTGAAATTGTTGGCTCTGAGACACTACTATTTCACCAATGGCTGGAACATATTTGATTTAAGTGTGGTCATTATGTCTGTTGTTGGTAGGTAAAAATATACCAACAAGCTCAGTAATAGCCCTTTATATTTCATTACCATTGCCCCCCGTCCCTTCTGCTGCCATTTTGTTCCTCCCCCTTTCTGCTCTAGGAGTTGGCCGTATGGTTTTTGGAAGTCCACTCCAACGCTTTCTGGGTTCCCTAGGTATCACGTTTGGACCCATGTGCATTTTTGGCACCATTAGCCATTCTGAAAAAAAAAATATTTAACTTAACTGGAAACCATCAAAAAATGAATGAATAAATATAGATTTCATGCCTTTTCCTCATGTAAGAGGAATATATGCTTTTTTATGCACTTAATACATTTCTAAATAAAGTCTATTAATCATTCAACAAAGGATGCAAAGTATTAGTGACAGAGAAAAAGTATATCCTTAAAGTTTGTTACATATTGAAAGGGCACAGTGTTTCTAGAGACACCTTTAGAAATGTCCAAGATGGCCTTTTGTGGAATTATTCATCATAGCACATTAAAAATGCAATTTATTAAATGCCAATAAAAAGGACCATATATGTAGATTTCTTTATCAAAGTTATTACAAAACCTATGCAAAATTATCAATTAGCCTTTTTTCCACTAGTCTTAAACATGTCTACTGCCCCACACTATTAGACATATTTGCAGTAGCAATAAGAGTAGTGGGACAAATGTATCCTAATCTCTTCTTCTTTCCCTTTCTACCTCCTCTGTGATGACATCAGGGTGAAAACAGACAAGCAAAGAAGTGGGTCCCTGTAAAGCCCATAATGATTAGAGAATTTTAAAATGTATCTTCCCTTAAAGAAAAGTATTTCTCTATAGTGCATGTTGCTTCAAGGACTTCCCAGAAAATAGCAAAAATAAATAAGTAGACCTAAAGGGAGAACAAGAGAAAGAAAACCGTTCTTTTATCATGTGAAAAAAATGTATAGATATTTCCATCAAGTTTTGACCAAATGATATTTAGAAGAGCACCTTTTTCTTTTTGTTGTCATATGAGACTACTTGGGGCTACAATGGAACACTTTAGAAAGGCCAGAATAAGTTTAGCCTTTCGTTGCATAAGGACACCCCTGGACTAATCATCTGCAGGGATTGAATCTGGGACCTCTGGATCGAAAAGAATAGACTCTACTGCTAGTGAAAATGGACCTTCTCCATTAGTTTAGTGGCATTATCAGACTAATAAAGAGGTCAAATCACAAGAGAGGGGCCAAAAGCCACACTGTTAGCATGATGTCAAGTATCAAAGGGGTAGCCGTGTTAGTCTGGATCTGTAAAAGCAGCAAAGAGTCCTGTGGCACCTTATAGACTAACAGACGTATAGGAGCATGAGCTTTCGTGGG